AAAATAAGGTACCAGTAGAGTATTACCCCCAAACAGCTTGCTTGTACTATTTGGAAAAATGTTTGTTAATATAGCTGGCCTTCTGTTTTCGATATGTTTTAGGTAAGCGTCCCACAACTTACAGCATTTGTAGGAAACCTTATTACCACCGCATATGTGGATGTGTTCAGTAGGATACTAATAGCTTATTCTGTGTGAATTCAGTGGTAATAGGCACTTTTACCTCAGTTGTATCTTTGCAGTTCTGTCTTACAACATACTTTGTAAAGTAGTATTAAATTATTAATTAATTATTAAATGCTGAGGCTTGCAATTGAAGAATTCATATTGAGCTCCAGTGTCATTCTTTCTTCAAACCAAATTTTTTTTTTTAATGCGATACGGTGATGAAATAAGTAAAATTCATTAGTGATGTTCTTTTCTCTCTGAGCTTTGTTGGAGGTTGGTACAGGGAGGTTCCTGAAATAGCTGTAGACTCACCGGGAAACGAGCATGGAAGGGTCTTCAGGAGGTCACTAGTCCTGCGTCCTGCTCAAGCAGGGAGTTAGTTCAGGGCCTTGATTCAGTGAAGTTTTGAAAATGTCCAAGAATGGAGATTCCACATCCTCTTGGCCCCAGTCCAATGCTTAATTACGCTCATTAGGTATAATGAAAACATTTTTCACAACTAGAATATTCCTTGTTGTAACTTGCGACTGTTGCCCCTTCTCATCATGCACTTCTGAGAAGAGTGGCTCTATTGTCTCTATAAAACACAGCTCTAGCATGCCATATACATTGTGGGGGGGCATATATAAACTATTAAAAGAATTCAAACTACTTTGGGGAAAGATGGCAGTATCTGTTGTATCATCGCAGTCTCCATCCATGCCTAATGACAGTGTACTTAAAAAAAAAAAAAAAAAAAAAAAAAAGTGAACACCTTGACTTGAGTGTGTAGTGCATATTGCTTCAAATGATAGAACATAAAATATGACTTTGCCTAGGAAGCTTTTTTGATCAATATACGTATACTTACCTATAATGAAGAGACTAAAACCCGAGAGCTCAGCAATCCTTGTAATGTTTTCATACCAGCATAGATGAGCACTGATAGGTAGGGCAGTGGTTCCAAACCTGCAATACAGCACATGAAATAAACATTAACAATCTCTTATCACATCACATATTCATACTTAAGTTTTATTTGAAAAGTCTGATCATTTCTATGCATCTTTTAGGACAGTCATTTGTAGATTCTTGTTTATTTGCAACAGTATACGTTATTAGAGTGCCAAATTTATCTGATTTGAAAATATGTTTTCTGTTCTTATTAGGAAACACTGCTAAGCAATATTTTCTTTTGGCTACATAAATGAAATGTGAGAGGTAGAATTTTAATTTAATTTCTGGGTGTTCTGTAGAGCAGAATTAATTCAGCCAGGTGAGCAGCAGTGCTAGCTTACTTGTTCTTGCAGGTACTCTCCATTTTGAAAGAGCAAAAGCAGACATTGATTACACTGCCAAATGGCATGCTCTTGGTTTGGCAAGCTTGGACAGGGAGTGAAGCTGCTGCTAAAAGAACTGCAAACAATTGTGAACTTGAAGAGAACTCTTGAGGAGCAGTTAATGAATGACAAAACAAAGAGGACTACAGCTAGTATGCAAAATAGGATGCTGCAAAAGTGTTTGGTTAGTAATAAATAATTAACATATTAAGAATTCTGGATGTTAATGCAAACATTGTTCTCAGAAATTCTCCATGTGAAAACATAACCATGTCCTTTCCCTGCTCATAGAGAGGAAGGGAGCTGCCTGTTGCTGGAAAATACGTGCAGGTAGGCTGCCCACGGAGGAACTGGGAAGGAAGAGCAGCTTGCTCAAGGGCTAAATAAATTTTTAAATCCTAGCACTGTCTGGAGTAAATGAGGACTGTTTGCTAACAGCCCTTCAAAGAGATGAAGTCCTTTCTGCCATTAGACGGATGCAGATTCTGTAGGAGCTTTTGCGTTGTTGCTGGCCATGCCTTAGGGAGGGGAGCTGCTTTCTGCTTCCTGTGCCCAGATTCTATGGAGTTTAGCTGGGAGACTCTTCCCCTCCTTACTCCTTGCGCTGGCTGTGATGAACAAGAGACTCCTTGGTCTCCAAGGGGAGAGAAAGTTGCTAGGAATGACTGAAGTCCGCAGATCTTTTTCTGCTCCTCTGGGGTCCCAGCCACGCTCAGGAATGATGGATTGGACAGCAAGATGTTGTTGTCTTTTCCTGGTGTTGATTACTTGAAATTGGGCTGTGCCTCATTTTCCCCAGTGCATTCAGTACGAGTATGTGTGGAAGTGCCATAGCACTGTGTGCAGGGCAGCGCTGGGAGCTCGTAAAAGCGGCTATTGCCTGCAAGTCAGGGGAAGTATCTAAAACTGTCTATTCCTAAGGTTCGGCAGTGGAGAGGCATCAAACTTTTCCTAGTGTCCTTTACTGTGAAGGAAGGTTTAGTACCAATACCACCTGCAACTGATTTACCTATATTTTACTTTCTCATAGCCTTAAATCATTTCTCTTGAAATAAAGACTCATAAACTGAGACTGTAGAACATTAACTGTATTAAGACCTCAATCATTTTTCTCACAACAAAACAAGAAACTTTCATCTAATCTTGATTTTATTTGGGTAAAACATACAGTGTCTTCTCCTCATCACCTGTACATGTTTATCCGTTCTGTCTGAAGCACTTCTGTTTAAGCTCGATGGCAGTAAAACAAAAACATTCACTTGACTGAAGATTAAATGGAATTTTTTGGGCTGGCAAATCTTGATTTTGCAAGATTGGTTTCAATTAGGTCACATTTTATTGTCTGTCTTACTCTATGATGCCTCATGTAATAAGATGAAATCGTATTGTTAGCCTTAAAATAATACTGAGTACAATTTGATTCTCTCTCCTTATATGGCAAATGACTGTTGCATTATTGTCTGCTTAAGATAACCATCTCTGCAACAAATGAAACTCAGAAAAAACCTAACCACTAGACAAGAGAGTACTGTGTGAAGATTGGTACATTTTACAGTGAAAATATCTTCATGTGGCATTAAACAAAACCACAAAGTATCTTCTTTTCCTTCTGCCTTCCTTTCATTCAAGAAAGGCTCAACAGACAGCCATGAATGACATTTATAGAAACAGAAGTGGCTGCAAGGTTCTGAAGATCTTGAGTCATATGGCAGTATCAACCCTTTGGAGGAAACTACCACTTCTGTTGTTTGTTGTGGCTAAAAAGACAGAGTTTAACAGGGAGAAATTCGGAAGGAATAAACACTGAGTAGATGCTTTCCTTTTTTTTCAGGGTTTGGACTTACCTTTCCAATACAATCACTCCAAATAAATACAGAAAAAGGTTTTTCAGATTAATTTTTATTTTCTCTAAAGCACTTTAATGTTGTTTGGCTTTGTCCTTGCTATGATGCTCTACTGCAGTGAAATGCTATACTCCAGTGTAGGCATAAAGGATTAGTCTGGAACTTCTCGTCTCTATTCAGTATGTTTATATGCTGTCTGTTATCTTTTTGTTAAAGTTTTGCAGAGTAGTTGTATTTTGGAATGATGAGAATGCCAATGGAACCACTATTCTCTTGCAAAATGCTGTCAAAGTAATCCTTTTATTTAGTTGAATTCTCCATCCTCATTACTTAACGGTAGGTGTAGTTCATCAGTCTAGCAAACAGCAGTAGGGGAGAGAAGGTTAGAAATGAAAAAAATCATGGAAGTCTTCAAAAAATATAGCCACCTCTTCTCCCAGATACTTGCTGTTACATTAAATGACCATTTGACATAAGAGCAAATTTTTAAAGTTAAGGAAGTGGAGAAATCATTACTGTACTGATGATGGATAACACACAGATAATACTACAGAATGGTACATATTTAATGCAAAGAAAATATCAGTCCTTATAGAATATAGCATACATTAATTAGCAAGCATTTCTATACAAGAAAAAGATGATGATAATGGATATACCAAGCAATTGCACTTACCAATATATTATTAATAGTAGTTTCCCCTAAAGTGCTTGTTATCTGCCCATAGATTTTCTGGGGATTCCAATTCAAACCCTAATTAAGTATGTGAGCGTGCATCCAGCAACTTCCTCTGTTAGAGTTTTTTCGTACGAGACATGAAATGATATTAGGTGGGCTAGATAAGGCAAGAAGATAATAGCTGGACTGGAAGGAGTATTAAGTGACTGAAAATAACTAACTGGAGTGTTATGCAACTAACCAGTTTATTCAACCCTAATTGTCAGAGCAACACATTGAAGAAAACAACAGCCTTAAGTTATTTAGTAAAGGTTAAGACTCGTAACTTTTGAGCTATGCTTTCTTTAAGGACAGACTATATGAAACCTAAGGTACGTTGTAGCCATTCCTAAATCTAGGAGGTAGCTCTTGATATACGTAGTTTTATTCTACCAGCATCCTTTGAAATCTGCATTTTTTCCTACTTTGAATGCATGGTTGAAACAAGACCTTCCCAAAGCCAGCAGAAGTTCTAGCGTTACATGCAAATGAGGTTGTGATGTGAAAAGTACTTCTCTAAATGTCAGCGGGGAAGTATGTTTGATATCCTTGCTGGAGGAGCTCACAGAGAGAAACTTCTCTGTGTGTAACACTGCAGTGAGTAACGCTGCAGCCGTCCAACTGGCATATTACGAAGTGCACCTCTTGGCTTCACTTTTAAGTTGAGATTCATTTTAACACCTATGATAGTAGCTACTTATCATACATTAAAAAAAAAAGCTGTTATGCTGATGTGTAGTCTGACTCAAGTGTGATCTTTTTATCTCTGGAAAAAGAATGAGTGCTCTGAAGTCAAACTACATCCAACAATACTAATTCTAACAAGCACCTCGCTCTGAAATAAGCTCAGGATGACCTTGGTACCTCATAGCCACACCAAGACAGCATCTTTACAGGTTGATCAGGTAACAGGTTTTAAAGACTGATCATATATGCTCTTATTTTTAACAGATTTGTCTCAGACTAAAGCCTCCTCACATCAAGGATGCTGATCCTTCTGGCTTTCATTATTGTGTTTCATATAACCTCAGCAGCGCTGCTGTTCATCTCAACTATTGACAATGTAAGTTTGATTTCTCCTGTTTGTTCCTAGAACACCCAGATCAGAAGCACAGATCAGAAGCTTTACACAATTTTTTCTTACTGAGTTTCAGATTATTTTCTGGATGTATTTTGAACCTTAGAAAACTTACCCGTTTATTATCAGAACAAAAGCATTATATTTGGAGTATGTAACGTATAAGAAAAAAAAATTACCTAGTTCTAAAGTCCTAAAGTCTTTGTATAACACTTAAAATGATGCAATTAAAAATACAGCTGGCAACTTTGCTTCAAGCCAACCTAAAATAGACCAACCAGCTTACACAGCCTATATTGTATCACTTTCTCTACTCCTAATACCTTTATCAGATCTTCCGTTTCCTGTAAGGCCATGCAAAACTGAGCTGTTCCAAGCTGTATATAAAAGCATTATTTGTACTCTTAGTTGTGCTTATAATTTGATGCCTCTAGTTATACTTCTCTAGTTGTCTTAAACTTGCTTATTGAAAGCATTTAACACTGTTAGGCACACTAGTCTGCTTATACCTTTTCGTTTTAAAAAAATCAAAAAAAAAAAAAACTACCCAGAACATTCATGTTGCTCCTTTAACTGGATGAGACAATACCAGTAAATACCACACTTGCATATGGCATCATGGAAGAGCCAACATTATGCAGCTAATCTTCCTTCCTGTGAGATTCCTTCCTGCAGGTAAATATATTTACAAATACTACCGTGCTTGGAGGATGAAGCTATGGCTTCAGCTAGATCTGATGGAAAGGGGGAAAAATCTATTGCCCTTCTGTGTCACATGCATGAAGTCAAATAGCTCATGATTTATGCGTAGTGATAATTTCAGCCAAAGTATGCTTTCCTTAGAAGTGGCTGTCCAAGATGCCTAATTAAATTATGAAAGGGAGACGAAGAATTTAACTATTTCTGTTTACTTGAAGCAACTTTACCACAAATTTTTAGAATCATGTTGCTTTTCAAATTACCTCTTCTTTTATGACCAGGAAGAACTTATCTTCCAATATTTCTGTCTAGCTCTTCATATCTTTCCCTTTCCAAAACTGCCTGCTATCCTGATACTGATATTCTTAACTGCTCATTAGAGTCTTTCTTTCTCTAAGACGTTCAGTGTGTGCTCAGGCTTTTAGGATTAAAAAAAAAATCTATACTGGAAGTACTTTACCATATTCAGTGAAGCTAGTTCAAACCCCATAGTCTTTTCCAAGACTGTGCTTTAAGTGAAATGATATATTACCCAAAGCTTTTTATCGCAAAATTGTATGGACTCAGATGTTATCTTTCAGTCAGCTGGTTGATTTGTTGCATTGAAGTAGGTCATTAATTGACCACTACAAACAGGTTGTCTTGTCTTAACCTGTTCCTTTTGAATATTTAGAGAGCTAGGACAGTGGAAGAGCAAATTATTCTAAATTCAGATCTTCCACACACACAAGTAAAATTGTAGAAATACAAAACCAAGCCCTCTGTGTCATTAGTTACTTTTAAACACTTACAGACTTAAACTTGTAACCACCTTCTGTTGGATTTTATGGTCTTCAGGGGTTTTACGAATATCATGCTGAAAGAATCACATAGCACACAAAGTTGAAAAATAATATATTGAACTTGGGAGTGCAAAATCCAAATGAATGGCTTAGTTCATCCTGGAAAATAAGGATTTTTCTTAGGCATGATACTCCAGTGTTATTATGACACATACTCCTAATGTCATAATAAATTACAATTTTTATTGCTGTACTGTTTGAAAAGCTGCACAATAATCTGTGAGGTTTCTTGAGTATCTTTTCCAGTAGCAGATGCTACCAGAAGTCATATTTAAAAGTTGTATTTTTCCAGCTCCAGTTAGAACAAAGGCCTGGGTAGCTATTGTAACTGCAGTGGATTTCCTGAGGAAATACCACTTGTGTGGACTGCTTGCAGCACTTGCAGGGCTGATACCATAAAAATCTGTTCAGTCACTCTAGTACTATTTTATGTTAAATGTTAAAACATCAAAATAGCAGTATCACAGTGGGATATTAATGAGTCAATAGCCACTTCCAGTCTGATGCCATAGTGTACATCCTGCATTTGCACACTTGAAAGTACAGCTATGTTATACAAAGCTGAGATGGATTCATTTAATGTCCGGAACTAGAAAATTTATGCTCAAGGCTTCTGTTTCACAGATGTATTACCCTGCTATTTCCCAGAAGTTAAAAAACGCTATGCCTTTAAGAGTTGCATCTCCCAAACAGGGTCTGGATGTTGTTGCTAAGGACAGTACTCTGGAATCAGCAACAGAACAAAGCAGATCTTGTATGGGTACCTTGCATATTGAGTTATCACTGAACATGCAAAATTGCTGCCCAGACAGTGGAAAATCCCTCGTTGCTTTGGGTTAAGAGTACTGCCTGTTCTCTTTTTTACTTCACATAGGTCTAAAATGAAAATACTCTTTATTTCAAAACATCTAATAAATAAATATACAAAGTTCAAGCTTTTATGAGTTGCCTTGCTTTAATTTACTTATACCTGAACAGATACCAACTGATGCAGCATTCATATTCTTGGTCAGTAAATGAGTCAACTGCAAATTTACCAGGAAACATTTAGAAAGGCCTCTGTTCCTGTCCCTCTGCCTGTTAGTTCCCAAATCCTGTCTCAAGCAGTGGCAATAGAAACTTGGTCAGTTCTGCACTGGGAATACAAACTGTTTTCTGATTCCTGAGGCCTCCAGTTTCCCACCCATCCCAAAATATGGGAGAGTAACCTGTTTGTTTTGCTCTTTTCCTTGACGTCTAGCCTGTAAAAATTCCTTTTAAGTCCATTACATCTGAAGTCTAGTTTGAAAAGTTAAGTAGCAAAAATGAACAGAAGTTAGTCCCAGTTGATATAGCTAACCAGCAGGGTTTTTTTTTTTTTTTTCCCCCCTATAAGATTCCTTTACTTCTGTTTTGCAGGCCTGGTGGGTAGGAGATAATTTTTCTACAGATGTCTGGAGAATTTGTGTCACCAATACCACCACCTGTACAGCTATTACTGATCAATTCAATGGTGAGTGTCTGCCGGCATAGGTTTCGTAGTTCCTTCAGAAGGAAATACTGTGAATTCGCTATGAAATTTTTGCAGGGGCAGTGGCATACTTGTTCAAAAAAAACTATATGCTTTAATTAACTCTCAAATCTTCTAAAACCTTTAATACTGACTTTTCATTTCGGACAAGCATACTGTTCCAACAGTTTCTGTAAGAGGAAAACAGAACACTCAAGTGCCCTTGAAAGCATAGTAGAAGAGAATAAAACAAACAACTAGCAACAGGAGTTTTAGAGAACTCTTAAAAATTTAACCAGGTAAAAAGAGTGAAGTCATTTGCAGGTGGCTCTGAAGTGACAGAATATGACTGTCAGAATTTAGCTTTCAAAGATGAACCTAAAAACGTGTACAGGAATGGGAGGGGAGGAAAGGAGGTCACAGGTTGCCCAGAGAGGTAGTGGAGTCTCCTTCCCTGGAGATATTCAAACCCCGTCTGGACGTGATCCTGGGCAATATGCTCTAGAGGCCCCTGCTTGAGCAGGGAGGTTGGACTAGATGATCTCCAGAGGTCCCTTCCAACCTAAACGATTCTGTGAACACCATCTAAAATTTTAACAAAGAGAACACAACATATAGCACAGTCTAATCTGTCCTGCCTTAGCAAAATAAATACACTAGACTGATACATTTATCATACTCTTTCAGTCTTGGTATATATGTTAAAGGAGTAGATGATTTGAAGTGCCAGGTACCTACAAAGTAACTATTGTCTAAGCATTGAGTTGGTTTAGGACATATCTATACTGCAATTAGTAAGAAAGATGATCACATTTCACACAGACATATCAAAGCTAACATGAATTTAACCTAGACTTGAGCTGGGTTTGATGTCTGTATTGTTATGTGTTCCCTGAAATTAGGTACATTAACTAGGTAGATGAAAAGCAGCTCAGGTATTTCTGTTTGCTGTTCACAGACCTGCTGACTGCAGCGTAGCTATCCCAAAGGGGAAGAGCTACAAAGAGCATATTTAAGTAGCTTATCTTGTCCATATCGTTGCAGCAAAGTTGTGCAAAACAGCTTCATGTAGTTAAAAAACGTATTGGTTATTAAAACTGTGTTGGTTATTTTAGCTCCGGGTTACAGTGAGGTAATTGACAGGAGAAAAACTGAACGTAAATGTTTTATGCCGAGTTTGGCAATCAGTCACGTCCAGTTACATCTTATTGGGTAGAGCTGTCCCCAAGTCATGTGAAAGGCATGACCCTGCATTTGTAAGCCCTTTTAGACACCTGGCAGTTTCACTAGGCTTTTAGTACATAGATCGAAGCAGGGGATGTTTAAAAGTCCTTAAACCATTGGCTGTACTAATACCAAGAAAGCAGGAAAGATCTATCCTAGGCAATGCATACACACCTGTTTGCAGTATCTGATGAACTTACAGAGCTTAGGCTGCTCTGCCCCTCTACTCCTTGCAGGAATAGGTGAAACGAGGAATTGCATTTTTAATCAAGGCTGCTTTTATTTTCACAGATTATCAATCAATTCAGGCTGTTCAGGCCACCATGGTCCTGTCTACTATTTTCTGTTGTGTGGCATTTCTGGTTTTCATTCTTCAACTCTTCCGCCTAAAACAAGGAGAAAGATTTGTGTTAACTTCTATTATCCAGCTCCTGTCATGTGAGTGATTTTTTTTGACACTTGTCACTTCAGTGATGTTTACATTAAAGTAGGAAAGGGAAGGGGGAAAAAGTTTCAAGAAGAACCAGCTGCATGAGAAATTGGTAGGGCTCTGGAAGTGATAGCTTGTCCCACAGACTTCTTTAAAATTGAACTGTTCCATTCTGTACTAAAGCAGTCACAACATGGATAACTGCTCAGAAGTAAAGTCATTTAAACCTTGAAGGGAAAGAATCTTAGATTCTAAACTTCTTGAACAGCTTTGTGATTGCCACAGGCAGGTACTTCCATAATTTTTATTAGTCCTTAAAACTATCCAGATGCTTAGAATTATTTTGTTTTGATTGCTAATAACATGAACGCACAACAGCACTTGCCATTTAATCCCTGCCCAAGAAACTGAAAAGCATGTCCTGAACTACTCCCAGTTTAGACTGAATATGGAAAACGATTGTCTACAAAAAAGGATATTGGTGCAAGTGGCAGCAGCTGACAGAAGAGACAGTGAATAGTTGTTATGCATATTTAAGTTATTTTAAGATGCTAAGCTTCACTACTTTCTTTCTTCTCCAGGTCTGTGTGTTATGATTGCAGCTTCCATTTATACAGATAGGCACGAAGAACTGCACAAGAGAAATGAATATAACATTGAAGTTTCTCAAGGCCAGTATGGCTATTCCTTCATCTTAGCTTGGATTGCATTTGCCTTTACTCTGATCAGCGGTGTTATGTACCTAGTATTAAGGAAGCGGAAATAAAACATCAGCAGCTAGTTGTTTCTGTCACTACAGTACAAAACCAAATTCCAGTAACCATTTTGTATATAATCATTTACATGGTTTTGTAGTAAAGCTATTGTTTCTCTAAAAACGTACTGTGTTCTTGATATGAAACAGAGTACAAAGTATTGTAGGTCTAATGGAATGCTTGGCATCTACAGGTCAAGGGTCTAAGCAATACAAAGCCAAGTTGTTGGTCTTTACATATTTCATCATCAAATGTTTTTCCCTTAACTAGACATTAACTGTTTATTCCTAGCCTCTAGTAGATTCCAAATAAAGACTGTGGTTATTAATTTGAAGCAATATGCTAACCATATTCCCAGCCCAGATCGATCCCTCTGGGATGGGATAAATATAGGAGGTAAAAAACGAAGCCCCGATCACAATGTAAAAACAATTATAAAAGCCCAAATCAGCACTCAGCGCGTGCGTTTTAGCAGGGGACTACCATTCTGCTATTTATAATGTGCAGTAAGTGCCATCAAGCTTTTATTAAAACCACTTGCTTTGCAAAAGTAAACAATTCCTTTTTGTACTCTGGTAGATGATTCTCTTCTTTCACATTTAATTTAAGCATACAGAGCCTTTGGGAGGAGAAGTTACCAGCAAATTCACTGCACAATATGGGACCAGAATAGCCTGAGCGGTTAGAGATACCCCATATACTCCCTTTATCCCTTCATTTTTGCATTGTTCATAGTCTTTCTGAAAAAAAAAATTAGTTACCTTACCTACACCTGCAAATTTCTAAGCAAATCAGAGATCCAGCAATACCAAATTTAGGTTTTTTATGGCCAAATAACTCAACATATTTACTACACCAGGATTTTGATATATAGTCACTATATGTAACGCATCATTTACAAAAGCTTTCCTTGAGTGTATCCATTAGGGAATCACCTTTAAAAATTTAATTCTAAACTCCTTTGTGAATTTTACTTGAACCAAACACTCCTCCTAAGTAAATCAGGGTGTAATTACTATGTTTATGATTTCCATGATAGTTTTGCAGAATAAAATGACTTGTTGACTTTTATTTTTAAATAATTTTGTGAGATAAATCTGTACGGTAACACTCAGCAGACTTAAAAGCTCAGCAATGTAATACTGGCTTTGGGTGATGGTGATTTAGGAGTTCGGACCAGTGTGGAGAATGAATGAAGTGGCTTCTTCTGGTTAGTCACAGCTTTGATGTTTAAATAGAGACTTGACTTTGTAAAAGCACTAAGCATATATTTATTTCAGTACATTCACTACAGTTGGACCCATATTACAGGCAATAAAAAAGTAAATAGGTTTTGAATGAGCTTTTACACAATGTAAAACAAATATATTATTATAAAATAGTGTAGTTCTATCAAAATTGATACTACAGCACATACATCAGCTGATGTTTTGACCCATTCATCTTCAGCTAATTCATCCTTGATTTCTTACCAAGTGGAAGTTCAGGCAGCTAACTGTATGGGAACTGTTTGCAACATAAATAATAGGTCATATTGTTCATTTGTATTCCCTGAACATCCTAACACCCTGTGGCATGTTAGACCTGTCCTTTGCAAGCAAATAAAGCCCAGCAAGAATGATAAGTAATTATGCAAGTAAACAGGACAACAAATTAAAAAGGAAAAAAATCAGCCCAAGCAAAATGCTTTTTCACCAGTCTAGCATGATGCTAATATTTTTTCTGGGTTTTTCCTTTTTCTGGGAACGCTAAGTTTCAAATATTAAAGTCCACTACTTTTTTTTTTTTTTAAAGTCTTGTTTCTACAGTTTGCTGAATACATTCAAAACCTAAGCTTCTTTAGCAAGCAGAATTTGTTTTGAATAAACAGATGCAGGCCTAAGTAGGCAGACTATAAGCTAGGCATTTGCTAGTGTTATACAAACATGAAATAGTAAGGGAAATTCAAAAGCAAATATTTGGATTTAAAATACTATTTTATATCTAGAAGACAGTTCTATAAAATTGTAAGCTAAGCTGTTGTGCCACTGATTTGAAGAGATGCTTCTTCAGTTTCTTGCTTTGGTCATTTATGCAGCAAATATTTTAAATAAAGACGTGTATATATATGTGCACAGCTTACTTCCACAGTAAAAGCGCTGTCCCTTTAATTAAAAGGGGACAGCATACACATACACCACAATGTACAAACAGTAATGTATACATGATGCCACATAAAACAGAGCATATGTGAATGTTCTGTATACTGAGAAAACAAATGCCAAAAAAGTTTGAACTAATTCTTAACAGGACAAACATATTTTAGGATATTCTTTCTACCTAATAAGCCTTTAAAATATACCATTTTCTATGCTCTATATATTCTGAAATTGTACATGAAAATAAAGTTAAAACAAAAATTGCTGTACTGTAATAGCAAGCTCAATACGTTTAGCAAACTTACCTTGTCTTTAAGCTTGGGATATATTTACACAATGTTGGATGAGACATAGTTGAGTATCTGTGTGAACAGGTAAAATTAAATTCTTCCTGCCTCTATTAGAACCACACGCTGGTTATTTTTGTCCTTTATTAAAGACCTTGCAGGGTAAACCAAGACGACATTAGAGTACTCAACATCTAAGAGCACGGTCCCACAAGAGTAACTATTGAGTAATGTAATCTACAGATGTTGTGATAAGCAGATTACTGTTAAGGTCTCTTTTCCTATTTTGTAGAAACAGCTGTGTATTTTAAAAGATTATTTTGAGTGCACTGATTTCAGAAGCCTTACCATGAGAGAAAATGTTAGAAACAGACCAGTGACTTCCGCATATGCTCCAGTCCAAGCTTCAGGTTTGCACTGAGATGACAACAGTAGAGAGGAATACTAACGTTGATCCAAAACAAAACAAAACTCCTCCACTTCCCAGAAACAATCTCCAAAACCCAATAAAACTTCTGCCTTCTAATCATAGGAACAAAGGGGAGAAAGCCCTAACTACTAGAATATTCAATAGTAGCTGTGAATCTACCTGACATTTTTTCTTCCACAAATACTTTAAGATTCTTCCTCAACTGTAAATACCGGAAACTACATTGCAAGACTGGGGTTATTTTGCTGTATTTTGGTAATGTATTCCCCCCAGAATGAGAGAAAATAAAGAAGCTTTACAGTCCTTTGCAGTGAGATATCTTTAAAAAAAAAAAAAGAAGTATAGGTGTTAGGAACTGTGTTCTTAAGCATCAACTATTTTATTATCACAACTATATCAATGATCAATTTTACATGGTTCTTAGCAGCTTCAAAATAACAGAGGTACTACAGCAGTGTTTTCTGAACAAACGTATCTTTAAAAACTTACATTTTGGAAGCTTGTGCCATTTAGCAAAGAGGATAAAACAAAAGAATCTTTCCTATAATTTTTAAAAACGGGAGTAAGAAAGATGAGCCCATGCCTTTCCAAGTGTTCAAGACAGTTCAGATCCCTAAACTCAGGGTTCAATAGTGCCACTGAAATAAAGGAAGTAATGAAGAAGAAACTTTTATTAAATTTTCAATTCTTTCATTTCAGTTCTTTTCCAGTAATCACTTCTGAAGTAATAAGAAAGATGCAAGAAAGTAGAACGTGGAAGTAAGTTAGTTTTAAAAAAAAGTCTTCATCTTTAAGGCTGTAGAAACAAGCTTACAAAATTAATGGAATAAAGTGCATAATGTAAGATTGTAACAAGTAGGAAACATAAGGAAGTTAATGGAGTCTGCAGTACAAATAATGCTTTGATTCAAAACTCGCTGCAAATAAGAATGTAGTACTTCACACTGAAACAACAGCAGACCAGTTGCTGAGGTAATATGGGTCTTCTCAAGAGTTTTTTTTAAAGACTTAAGGTAATAGACTGTATATCACAAAATGGTCCAAAACGTCCACATACATCTTTTGACTGAATGGCGAAGTAGTATTTCTTTGGGATAGTAAACTGCGATAAAGAGCAAGCCATTGGAAGTGGCAAAGCCCTTATTTTGCCTATTTTCTTCCAGCGCGATGCAGAAGTGTCCCTGGGGTTTTCATGGAACAGGTACAAGTGATAGCTGTCTAGGGGAGCACACTTTGGATCCATTTCCTTAATGGTCCATGACAGTGCCACTCCCTTTGGATTCTGCACCTGAGCCACTTTTAGTTCAGGCTTCTGTGGAGGGACAGTGTCCCTGAATTCTTCAGTGAGTTCTGGGTAAGGAGGGATCCTTGGCAGTGGAGGAAGATGTGGAAACTGCTTGGGAGCCTAGGCACCAAGACAGAAAGAGGTGTTATTTAAACAACAAAGGCAAATGCACTACTTTTTATTCATATTACCTTAGCTTTGTATGAATATATAAACTTCTACATTGTTACTGTCTGCACCGTTTCTAAGCTAACAGAAGTGTCACAGATTATCTGCTGTCAATACATTAACATTAAGCACATTGCTGACATCTGATTTCTGTCTATCCAGTATGCTCTTCCCCAAGCACAAAACACTCCTTATACTATAGCAATACTAACTTAGAACAGCTTTTGTTCAATCAGAGGGATTGCTGCAGAGGTTACCGTTACATCTGGAGAGATACTTATTTACTCTGAACCTTGAGTGCACTGACACAACTTCTAGACATTATTTTAACGTTTGCCTTTTTTTTTTTTTGTAAATTTAGCCAGAAAGCAAACCTGTGCATTAGTTAGTACTGAATTATTTAGTTTTAAAACTGGCATATATTGCACAGATGAGTAAAATTGTAGGTGTTTTCATCAAATTCAACTATTATCATCAATTTTAACAGATGTTAAACACTCCTGATGATATCTGGACTACATTATGTAACATAAGTTTTGGTTGATTTTACTGCTGGTTCCTAGAGAAGAAATGTTGTATTCTATTTCTGTTTCCCCCCACCTCCCCAAAACAGTGAACTGGGCTTCTGAAATTTAACTCACCAAATTTAAATCAAAATCAAAAATAGTAAAATGGCAGTTGTGTTGCTGTCATAAATGCTAGGATTCAGAAGACTTAATTCAAAACAAATATGCAGACATTGCTACAAGGGAAAGGGTAGGGTTATAAAGCATGTGTATATCTTCACAGATTCAACCTTCTTATATATTATCAGC